AAGAATTGATGCATCTGAATTTGGGGGCTGGAGAAGAATATTGAAAGTTCTATGATGGCTGATAGTAGTACAAACCAATCTGTATTGGAAGAATGCTCCTTGGAGTATGCTAAGGTTGGCAAGACTTCATCTTCCGTACTTTGGGCATATTGTCAGGAGAGAGCAGTCCCTGGAGAAGGACTTGATGTTTGGTAACGTGAAAGGGCAGCAAAAAAGAGGAAGTCCCTTGGTGAGATGGACTGACACAGTACCTGCATCCATGGGCTCAGGCATGGGGACAATTGTGAGGACGGTGCAGGACTGTGCAGGGTTTCCTTCCGTTGTGCACAGGGTCGCTAAGGGATAGGAGCTAACTCAGTGGTCGCTAACAACAACATTCCTTGGTGCCATCCTGTGTTCTTCACCGGGTGTAGCCATGTCGCCACATTGTTTCAAAGGAGCGCCTACTTGAAGGCATTCAGATACTTTCACTTTTCTTTTCCTGCTAGAGCAGCGGTCCCTACCTGTGGGTCCCAGCCCCTTGGGGCTCGAATGACCCTTTCACAGGGGTCGCCTAAGACCATCGGACAAATATATTTCCGATGGTCTTAGGAACTAAGACACTGCTCCTCTATCCGTCTCCAGGTGAGTCCGTCTCCGTACAGATACACCCACATACGAGTACCCAGCGTGATGACATCATCGCGTCAACCCTATCACATACACCCTGTACAAATACAGGCGTATGTGACAGGGTTGTCACCATAATGTACTTATGCAGACTAGTCACACATGTGTAGAGTGCAGCTGCTGTGTAGAAAGCAGCTACTGTGTTGAAAGCAGCTACTCTCTTAAAAGCAATTACTGTGCTGAAAGCAGCAGTATTAGAGATAAAATGACACTTCATGAATTATAATTACTGGGTAAATGTAAAATCAGGTACTTTAAAATCATCAACTACAAAAATAAATATCTGTGCCATGGGAACTTAATCTGGATGCTGCTCGGTTTTTTTATATTCAACTGTGGTTGATGTGAATACTGCCCCCTTGTGACAGTAACAAGTACGTAAAAAAAACCACAGAGAATGGTAAATCATAGGAAACTTTAATGAACTGTACTGACAGAACTATGCCATGTATCATCTTTTATATCATTAAAACTATTGTTATTTATTACTTTCATTAGTATACCATCCCATGACAATGGATCGTGTTGAGAAAAATGTTAAGGAAAAAAAATAGGGTTTTTTACAGTATGATTTTACCTCAATAATTACAGCAGGAATTGAGAAACTGCAATGTGTTATTTGCTGTGAAGTTCTATCAGCTGAATCTATGAAGCCGAACAAACTAAAATGCCATTTTGATAGCAAACATCTGAGCTTTGCCAGCAAAGATACCAAGTATTTTAGAAGCAAAGCTGATAGACTCAAGAAAGTCAGACTTGACACTGGTGGCAAGTACCACAAACAAAACATAGCAGCCATTGCAGCTTATATTTGGTGGCACTCAGAATCGCCAGAGCTATGAAACCTCACACCATTGCTGAGGACTTACTGTTGTCAGTGACCAAAGACATTGTTCAAGTTATGATCAGAGATGAATTTGTTACAAAATTGAGTGCAATTTCCTTATCTAACGACACTGTCTGCAGAATAGACGGCATGTCTGCTGATATTCTTGATCCGGTAATCCAGGAAATTAAATCTGCTCTACTTCCAATATTTAGTATCCAGCTTAATGAATCTATACACGTTGCAAACTGTTCAGTGACTGGTTTAAGTGAGGTATATTAATGATGATGACTTTAAAGATGAGTGTCTTTTTTGCAAACCTCTTGAAATGACAACTCCTGCACATGATGTATTTCACAGAGTTGATTCATCTGCAAGAGCATAAGATCTCTTGGGGAAAGGTTTGTGGTGTTTGCACAGATGGTGCTTCAACTATGTTAGGATGTCCATCTGGATTTCAATGTTTAGTACTGAACGAGTCACCAAAAGTCATCGGAACTCACTGTATGACTCATTGACAAATAGTTATGAAGACACTGCCACAAGAGTTACAAGAAGCAATGAAAAGCGTCATAAGTTCTGCCAATTTTGTAAAGGCAAGTACTTTAAACAGCTGACTTTTCGCAACTGTGCAATGAGTTGGATGTGCTCAGCAATGCTCTGCTATTTCACACTGAAGTGAAATGGTTGTTGAGAGGAAACGTTTTAAAACGTGATTCTGAACTTCGTGATGAACTCAAAACATTTTTTAATCAGAAAGCAAGACCACAGTTCGAAGCACTTTTCAGCGATAAAAGTGAACTGCAGAAAATAGCTTATTTGGTTGACATCTTTGCCATCTTGAATGAGTTAAATTTATCACTGCAAGGACCAAATGCAACATGCCTTGATTTGTC